CATTTACTTGACTGTATTTTAAAGAACATTATCAGTCTAGAAAGAGATAGATAGACCCTCTTATTGACATACATACATAAACACTCACGCCTGTCACCCAGAGGGGTAGGCAGAGACTACAGATTTCCATTTGGCACGATCCTGACACACCTCTCTCGCTTCCTTCACATCCATACACCTACGCATACATGCTCGTCGGTTAAGGGTACTCCTAATTTGGCCTGTTTCTAATAAATCGCCAATTTGGTCGATAAATTTTCGCCTAGGACGTCCCTTTCCGACTCTGCCATTCCCTTCTGCAACATAAATTTTCTTTGTCACTCTTTCCTCATTCATTCTTTCCACATGACCAAACCACCGAAGCATTCCTTTCTTCTCATCCTCATCATCATCTTGCAAACCACACTCTTCTCTTATTACACAATTTCTTACCCTGTCATTCAGATTCAGCCCTAACATACTCCTCAACGACCGCATTTCTACTGCGTTTATTCTACTCTCGTGCTTCTTCTGCCACACCCAACTTTCACTACCATACGTTAAAGTAGGAACCAACACAGCATTGTGAATTGCCATACGTGCCTTTTTCGACACATTTTGACTCTTCACAATAGAGTGCATGGCCCCATTTACTCTATTTCCCGCATTCACTCGTCGTTCTATATCCTTATCATATCTCCCATCCCTGCTAAATACTCAGCCCAAATATACAAACTCATCTACTTGCTCGATCAACTCCCCTTCTATTCTTATTTCACAAATCGTTTTACTTTCTTCTCTTTCAAAAACCATAACCTTCGTCTTACTTGCGTTCACTTTCATACCCCTTTCTTTTAATGATCCGTTCATTAATGTAACCATCATTTGCAACTCGGCAGCCAACGACGCAAGAATGACTTGATCATCGGCGTACAAAAGGCATTTGACAGTTAACTCACCCATTCTTAATCCGCATTCTTCAACTTTCAAATTTTGCAAACAACTGTCCATAAATAGGTTGAACAGCCACGGGGAAGCCACACAGCCCTGTCGACACCTTTATGGATGTCAAACCAGTCCGAGTAGACCCCGTTGATCCTAACACAAGCACTAGAGTCCCTATAAAGAGACTCCAATGCCTGTATCAAGCCAGCGCTCAACCCAAATGAGTTCCGTGTTTGCCATAGCAAATCCCTATCCACTCTGTCATAGGCCTTTTCCAAGTCCATGAACGCACAAAACAACTTTTGGTTTTTGGCCAGAAACTTCTCCGCGATCATGCGCATGGAAAAGACTTGATCTGTACATCCCATTCCCTTTCTAAATCCCACTTGCACATCCCAAATTTTTCCATCAGTTTCTTTCATGACCCTTTCAATCAGTACCTTAGCGTACGGTTTTCCCACAATGCTAAGAAGGCTGATGTCACGGTAGTTTTTACAGTCCTGCTGCGACCATTTTCATTTATATACTGGGACTATCACGGCTTTGCACCAGTCTACCGGTACCCGCTTCAGTTCCCAGCATAAATTAAACAAGGTGTGCAGCAGGCCTGCCACCACCTCCTCTCCAGCCCTTAGCATTTCGAGTGAAACTCTATCATATCCGGGCGCCTTCCCGCTTTCATGCTTTTCATTGCTTTCATTATTTCATCTATACTTATCTCGCTACCTCTTTCCTCTCCTTTCGGAGTTTCTACTTCACTTAGTACACATGTTATCTCCTCACTCATAAACACGCTTTCAAAATATTCCTTCCATCTCTTTAAACTCAAAACTTCATCATTCAGAATATAGCCATTCTCGTCTCTTATAGCATTCATCATAGGCTGTTTTGAATGTCCCCTGGCAGTTCTTACCAGTTTCCAGAACATTTTAATATTTGCCTGGAAGTTATCCGATCTCTTATTGAATAATCCTCTTATTGAATAAAACTAAATTTAAATATTTTATCGCGCTTAATAAACTACTTTAACTTATTTTCAATTTCCGACGTTTCGGGTGCTTTGCTTACGACGTGAAGCACCGAAGCTCCGGGAAGTCTGCAGTCTGTGAATATCATGGACCTAGAAAAAAGGGCGGACGCAGTCTCTTAAAACAATTACTGACGCACCCATAGTAAGTCACTTTGCTAATACAAACAAGCCGGCACGCACACATGCACACCATAGTAAGTCTAGCCCGCCATTACGCTCCAAACCGCGATCGCGTAGTTACTCACACATAGTTACGCGGCCGCCATTGCGGTGCGTCAATTGTTTCTTAGCGAGACTCTGTCCGCCCTTTTTTCTAGATCCATGGTGGGTGTGTTCAAGATCATCCCCACCATTACATCAGATTTGATAAACCACAAGTCCTCGCAAAAGAACACCGATTGCTAACAAAGATGGTACATGAGGCAATTGAAATTAAAAAAAAACATCCTAACTTCAATAGAGAAGATGGGTGGGTGCTGCCATACGCTTGGGATCCTATAATTAACAAAATTAAACCCAAACCCAAGCATACCACTGCAAGACTTCAGTATACTGTAAGCTCGTTATGCGTAGATCGGACTGAAAATTGATATTAAAAAACAGAAGGTAGCCGGGCTAACTATGACATTGGGAGTTCAAACATCTCAGTGTCCCCCGTGACCATGGGTGCTGTAAAACACCCGAAACATCGGGAATTAAAAATAAGTTAAAGTAGTTAATTAAGTGCGATAAAATCCGTAAATATAATTTTAATCAATGTGTAGTGTTCGCGTAAATTAAAGAAATCATTATGTTGACCGTCTTATGCTTTTTTGGCTAAACAAGCTAGCTTAGCTTTTAATGTGCGACTTAGATTGAAAAGGTGAAAGATCTAACATTTCTTTTGGAATCTTGTTATAAAAGCTTATACCGCTACCCAAGAACGAATTTTGTATACTCTGTGTAACCGTAAAGCAGATAATGTGATTTTATTTTTATTTTTTATATTAAAATTGTGCAAATCACTATTCTTTACATGTAAGTGAATGTTTTGTCGTTCATACATGATATATGTAAAAATACATTGTGATGCAACAGTCAAGATATAAATTTCTTTAAACAGTTCTCTCAGAGATACTCGGGCTCCTAAGCAGTACATTGCACACTTTACATTTTATATGCACACTTCTTATAGTATTCGATTATCATTGCAGAAAATGTTTAGACGTTTCATGATGAAAGTGTCTGCAATATTTATCAAATGGGTGACGACATACTCGGGCACTTTGTGTTTTAAAAACACACATTTCCAAAAATCGAGACTTGCAGTCAACTTATTGAACATGTTTATCTATTAAGTTATGATAATAATAATAATAGTAAGTAATTATTATAAACCCATATAGATATTATAATAATTACTTACTAGAATAAATTATTATGATATCTACCTATCCTTATCATTATCTACTTACAATATTCCTTGAGAGATCAGCGTAATGTATTCGTGTCCATTCTGAGCACCCGGAAATTTATTTTATTCTTTGGAACATGTACTCTGTGGTGTCATGTATCAAACAGTGTCAAATGTCGTGCGTGCGGCGCGGCGGCGACGAATATCTTTGTACTTCCGAATAGCTGCAAAATTTCTTTGACAAGTCAGTATCCGACCTTTGATGGTGCCGACAGCAAGACACTCTTTTTTTCTTTTAATGGATATTTTCATTCGCTATGTATGTTTATGGTATTGTTCGTAATGCACATAAGTCCAATTTTCCAAGTTTTTTATATATATATATATATATATAATATATATATATATATATATATATATTTAGTCTCATAGAGTCCCTAAGCGTATACCCGAACTCGTATACTCCCTAAACGACACTCAGTCCTAACTGCAACATGCAAGAGTCTCGCAGGCTTAGTCTTGTTCTTGTTCAAATCTTCCACGGTCAGTCTTGGTCTTGGTCTTGCAAAAATGCAAGAACAAGACCGATTTTGGGCAACACTAAACGCAATGCTTGCAATGTCCGTAGGTTACGAGTGCTCTTAAGCGAGAAATTCACTAGACGGAGTTGCTCACGAGTGTAGCGGCGCTGTCGTCGCGCCACAAGCGAAACACACCGAAGCCTAAATCGCGCTATCAAAATTCCGAATCATAAACAGCATATATAGAACATCTCCGAACTATCACACGGAGTGTTGGCCGCTCCCCGGGAAGAACACCTTGCCCGGCGGGAGATCTCCCTTTTTCCTTCCACGGCCACACGAGCATGTCTGTAGACATGCGATCTCATTTTGTCTGCACGGGCACAGACATGCCTAAACGCGAATGTTAACTGCGGACTGTCTGTTCAGACACAAGAGCGACAGCAACCGGTGCGGGCGGCCTTTCATTATTATTTAACAAACTTTAGAGGTTTTTAATTATCAATGAGTTCTAATGAAAATAAATTATTATGGTAAGAGTTTACATGACTCTAAATTCATGCGTAAGTAATTGTAAGGTGTCCCGGTTCATCAATTTCTAATTATTTATGTAAATTGATATTGGCTAAACTTATTTCTATCTTTGTACCGTTCTTTGCACCAAATTAATAATAAATAAATAAAATAAGCATTGTGAGTCTAGGTTGTCATCTTAATGTGCACGCACAACTAATCATGTAGCCGCACTAAAACAAACTGTTGAGTGTAGTGTATCGCGGCAACAGACATGCCCGGACGACCGGCCCGTGGGAATGTGCGCCTAGTCTAGTGAATTCCCCGCTTTAGACGAACGACACTCACACTGATAACGTCAGGCACGCGATTGTACGTATTGTAGTGTGTGTTTAGTGTATGCTCATGTAGCTATATATACGATAGCCTAAAAAACATTTTAATTAGTAATAAACCTACATTCAAAACCAGTAGACGCATTATTTATCCCCCCGAACCTCCCGACATTACAGTATAGCATATGATCAAGAATACAGTACTGACTTTAATTTAAGAAAATGATTTTGAATAGCTCATCGGAATAAAGCTGTAACAATATATATTTTTTTATATTTCTAACCTGTATCTGCAGCTCGGAAATATTTTCCTGCAAAGTCTTAACTTCGCCTTGCAGCGCCGCTTTCTCTTGTCGAAGCTGTTCGAGTTGAAACTCTAATTCTGAGATGGTGGATTTAGCGTTGTTCCGTGATACCTGCGATTAAACAATAAAATTGATTTCTTTGCTTAAAATATGCTCAAAACGGTAATATAAAAATGGTAAAAAAACGGTACTTTAGGACATATCATCCCGTTTTTGCAAATATGTATTGTAGGTAGCTCTTAATTTTACATCATATTATTATAAGAGTATGTACCCTTAGCTATTGCTATATTATTTCTTAAGTAATTTTCAAGTTGGCATTTTTCAATTAAAATAACCCGCATAAGTCTTTTAACTTTCTTATGCGGCTTATTTTATTTGAAATTTTCTTTCTTTAGCTTTCTTGAGAGGAGTCCCGTATCGCGTCGCAGTCACTGTGCGTGCGCGAGGCGCTCGGCAAGCGCGGTGTACGTACCGGGTGCAGTAGTTTATACCGGGTGCAGTAGTACGTACCTGGTGCAGCAGTACTCACCAGCGCGTCGTCGTGCAGGCGGCGCGCGTCGTCGTGCGCGCGGTCTAGCTGTCGCTGTGCGTGCGCGAGGCGCTCGGCCAGCGCATGCGCGCGGGCCGACGCCGCGTCCGCCTCGCGCCGTGCCGCCGCCGCCGCCGCCGCCTCGCCCTCCGCCGCGCCCGCCAGCTGCACACCACAAACTCTAAATCTTGTCCGATCACACTTTATTTCCCGCTCTCTTACCGAATTCAAATTCTATTTTATTATTTCAAATTTACAGCCTACAATAGTCCATTGCTTAACATAGGACTCCTACACAGATTGCCTCATAGGGAAGATTTTGCCATATTTAGTAACTGCGCCGCCATACCCTCCGTCGCTACACCTTCCGCCGCGCCCGATATGTGCGCACCATTTGCCCTACATCTTGTCCCTTTCAACAAACAATTTTCGATGTTTCAATTCATTTTTTATAGAAATGAGCGACAAACGAGCACACATTCCACTTAGTGGTAAATGGATGCTGTGGCCCATAGACATCTACATCTGTCGTGTGTTAAAAATCAAAATGTAGATGCGTTGGCAGTAGGCACCCTTGAGGACTAAGACAAAATGCCTCGTTTACAACAAAGCGGAACCTCGGTTTCCTACACTCACCATACGAAACACAATAACATTAAGCTGCTATTTCCCTTCTGTTCTTTCTAATTTACTCACACTTGACTCTTCCTCACTCTCTACATCTTGTCTGCTTATACTTCACTCTTCCTCGCCTTGCAAATCTTTTCTTTTCACATTTTACTCTTTTTCGCTCTCTACATCATGTCTGCTTCATTTAATACTCTTTCGCCCACTACATCTTCGTTTTTTAAATCTGGTTTGCTTACATTTTACACTCTCTCGCACTCTACATCTTGTCTGTTTACATTGTACTCTTTCTCGCTCTCTCGCCGCGTAGTTCCTACGCTTAGCAGACATGAGCCTCTCACATCGTACTAATTTAATTATTACTTATTCATGAAAGCCTATCACATGTGCACTGCTGAGATGCCTGAGGCCGCTTCATGGTTTGTTTAATAGGACAGATTTTGCCCTAGTTTTCCACAGAAGCGACTCCTGTCTAAAGGGCCGGTAACGCATTCCCCTGGTGTTGCGGATGTTCACGGGCGGCGGTAGTCACTCACCATCACGTGAGCCGCGCGCTCGTTTGCCCCCCTCCCCCTTTTTTTTAAAGAAGCCACGCTAGACAGGCGGATAGAAAACCGCAGTGTTTTTATTACTTTGCGTTATTATCAGGAACACACTGTTGCCCGTCTTCTGTTTCAGTTCCTCTCCGTTGTCCCTTCCGACACACAGCAACGACGGGGTGAGGTCAGGATATTCTCCATCGTCACTAAACGACTTTTGTTTGTTATTGTTTGTAGCCAATTAGCCCGATTTATTAAGCTTTTCTAATGGGACTCCTATCCTGTCTCGTAGTTCTTTTGTTTCAAACTGATTGTATTCACGGACCGCAGTACCTACTTACCATCAGGTCGACTATAAAAGTTTGTTATTTTAGTTATATAACAAAAAACGTTCTAACCTTTTCAGTACTAAATCATGCACGTAAAGTATTGAAACAAAAATAATAAACGGTTGGCTAATTGTTTAAATTATGACACAAGGCAACATTTTGAGATCACTATATTTAACTGAAGAAATAACAATAATACTAGAAATAGAACAGGTCGTACTAAAGCAGTAGAGTAAAGATTTAAAAAAAATAACAAACGAAATTTTATTTTCTCAGTTCTAAGAAATAATATACTTAATACATCATCATCATCATCATCATTACAGCCCATCACAAGTCCACTGCTGAACATAGGCCTCCCCCAAGGTATGCCACATAGCACGGTCCTGAGCTACCTGCATCAATCGACTTCCTGCATGTCTTACCAGGTCATCACTCCATCTAGTGGGGGGTCGCCCTACACTACGCCTACCGGTACGAGACTGCCACTCGAGAACCCTTCTTCCCCAACGGTGGTCGGTTCCTCGAGCTATAAGGCCGGCCCATTGCCACTTCAGCTTACTAATCCGTTGGGCTAAGTCAGTCACTCTGGTTCTACTGCGGATATCCTCATTTCTAAGTTTATCACGCAGAGAAACTACGAGCATAGCCCTCTCCATAGCTCGCTGAACGACTTTGAGCGTCCTCATACGGCCAGCAGTGAAGGACCACGTCTCAGTTCCATATGTCATCACTGGCAACACGCACTGGTTGTACAACTTAGTTTTCAGGTTTGAGGTATACCTGACGAGAAGATGTGTCGTAATTTCCCGGTCGAAGTTGAACTTACCTAGTCGGACTATTTGTCCCAGGTAAACGTACTCGTCAACAACTTCGAGCATAGTGCTCCCAACAACTACCGGCATAGGTGTGACATGGACATTAAACATGATCTTTGTTTTGTCCATGTTCATCTTAAGACCTATCCGTTGGGAGACACCAGACACCGCCTCGTACCGGTAGGCGTAGTGTAGGGCGACCCCCCACTAGATGAAGTGCCGACCTTGTAAGACATGCAGGGAGTCGATGGATGCAGGTGGCTCAGGACCGTGCTTTGTGGCATACCTTGGGCAAAGAATATATACACTACGCGAAAAGAAACGACACTTAAGCATGTGTGCACGTAAAATCGCTTGCGGCTATGTGTGGGTGTCTGGATGTGTGCGGGGGCCTTGAGAGGCGCGCGGGGCGTGGAACGGGCAGTCGCCGACTGCCCTGGCCGAGGTCTAGTAGTAATACCGATATTTGTCAGTATGTATTAGTTAATATGAATATATTCGTCAAGTGATATAATTTTTAAATTAATATATGAGTATTACCGATATCTTAATGTACATATTACTATTCTATTCATGTAGGTATTAAGTTTATGTTACCAAGTAAAGTTATTAGTTTTTATAGTCGTGTATGCTACGTTTATATGCTTTGATAAATATTTTTTTTATTAAATAAATGATATTATAGTATATTTATAAGTATTACTGAAATAAATTCCACTGCACAAAACAAGGGCCCCCTTGTTTTGTTAGTTTAATTTTTAATAATGTTTTATGATACCTAAATATATGTGGTAATTTTAATGAAACTTTTTTTCAACTTTCCTTCTTTTGTGAGAAAATCTTTTATTTCGAGCCTTTTTTAGTATTTTTATAAAATACGAAAAATTAAATTAAAACTAATTGAACTCAGGATTTTTATTTAAATAATCAGTTCATTTTTTTAATTATGTTGGTAAGATCGAAAAATATTATTCATATTATATAAGTATGTAATTTGTATCTAAATATAATTTCCAAAAAACACGATTTCCAAAAAAAAAAATACCGAGCAAAGCTCGGTCATCCAGATACTACATACTTAAATGTTTTTGACGACAAGTGACATAATTATTCAATTTGCTTATACTTATTGCATAGTGTGTGTAGACATTTAGTAGGTACTAACTACATATACCTTATAGAAGTGAGCTGTTATTTTTATATGTAAGTATTTACCTATCTATATCTGCCAAAGACAAATGCCAGCTTTTACGATGAGTATTATATTCATTCAAATAAAATTAATTTATACCTTTTAGAATGGAAGATAAAGATTATAGACGAGGAAAAAAAAGTCGACCGTGTTTATCAACAAAACGAAAAAAAAAAAACAATTTTCTTCGTAAAACGAAAGGATGGGTGCGCCAACTTCTAAAATCAACAGGTATACCACAAAACATACTATTGCACATTGGTATCACACGTAATATTATTTATTCTGTGATCATACTTTGCTTGCTAGGAGATAGACCGAAATTTATTTCGCCAAAATATAAAATTATGGAATAGCTGATGTTGATTTTAAGACTTCATAAAAGGACGAAGTTCTATGTTCGGATGTATGCTTTTTCTTTTATTTTATTTCTACATATTTCTATGTATGTTCACTGATTTCTCTATCAATTGTGGACCGATTTTGAACACCTATTCATTTTTTCTTCGATAATATGTCTCACATTTGGCCCCATATAAATGTCATAGAAATCATTTCAACCATGACATATGTTATAAGTAATTGAGTTTTATTGAAGCCGGTTGTACAAAATTTTCAATTTTACTACTTGTCTAGTAATGATATTAGTCCGTTAGAAAATGTTGTTCATATTACTAATTCTAATTACTAATTTACTAACCTAAATTTTAACAATTAAACGAGCAATTTTTGTATATATATATACTCGGGATCTCGGAAACGCCTCCAACGATTTTCATAAAATTTAGTGTCCAGGGAGTTTCGGGGGCAATAAATCGATCTAGCTAGGATTTATTTTTATAAAATGTCCTTTTGTCCGTGTTTTCAGGCAATAAAAAAACTGCTACAATATAAGAAGGTAAATTTTGACATGTTACCAACGATCGTAATAGCTCAGATGGGATGTTGTTCGGGCGTGATGTCGGAGATCCGTGGTTCGCGTCCCGTCTTGTGTCCGAATTTTTTTCCTTTTTTTTTTCAAGTTCCCTTCTTTTGTGAGAAAATCTATTATTTCGAGCCCTTTTTTTAGTATTTTTTAAAAATACGAAAATTTTAATTAAACTAATTGCACTCATGATTTTTTATTCAAATAACCAGTTCAGTTTTTTCTATTATGTTAATAAGATCAAAAACTATTATTCATGTAATTTGAATATAAATGTAACTTAAAAAAACCGAGCAAAGCTCGGTCATCCGGGTAATTTTAACAATGAACCAAATTAAAGGTAAACTAGCTTTTGCCCGCGTTAGTTAGCCATAAAATATATTTTCATTCTATTCATTTTTCAGTGACTGTGAGCTTGACAAGAAATTACCGGACAGTAATATGCAGGGACGATGTACTCCTAATAATCGTCGAATGAATATTAAATGTCTAACAGCGCTACATCGATGGAAGAAGGCATAATAGTGGAGGGTTTCCAAAAAAGCGTTGAAAAACATGGCGTTAAATATCACATGCTGATTGGCGATGGCGACTCTGGTATCATAAATGGACTATTGATTACTATGCCATACGGTTCTAACCTCATGGTTAAAAAAGTAAAATGCAAAAATCACCGTTTCAGAAATTTTTGTTCCAAATTTAAGCAGTTGGGGAAGAAAACTAACAACCAATAAGGTTACTTACCGGTACCTACAAGAAAAAGAGTTGTGAGCAATGTTTTGCGTCGCTTTTACGTGGTAGAGAAATGCTGCAGTTATATTAGTAGTATAATTGTAGCACGAATGGGTTACGCTCTCACAGAATACCGGCGTCAAATAGTAGCTCTGTGTTTCGTATGGTGAGTGTCGACAACCGGAGACCCTTTTTACTGAAACGAGGCATTCCACCTCCAAAGTCCTCACGGATGACAACGCATCTGCATTTAGATTCGTAATCGAGGGTAGATGTAGATGTCTGTGGGCCACAGCAACCACTTACCATCAGGTGGACTGTGTGCTCGTTTGTCATCCTATTCCATAAAAAAAAGAAGTAGTTGGAGCCGAGAAACATTGGAAGAACGAAGACATCACTGACGTGGAAAAAATTAAAAACATCAAAAATGACATAAAAATCAGTGCCAATCATGATTTAAGAAAAGAAAGAAGAGTTTTTGGCTTATCAAAAAAACGAGAACGAAATATATGAATTAGAATTGGCTACTAGAGGTCAAAGAGACAACAATTTGTGGCACACTGAACGGAAAAAAACGAATTACGAATGAGTGCGTGTTTAGTAAAATCAGTTAAAATAATAGATGCAATGAGAATTTAAAACAAAAAGGATAGAATGTATAAGATTTTTTTTTAATTAAGTTGTCTTCACCATTTGCCTTTATTATTTACTCTGTAAATTTTACCGGTTATTGCAAGTAACCTTGTGTTTATGAATCCTTAACGTATGTACACAAAAACAAAAACTGTTTTATTAAAATAGTGATTTATATTGTTAATAGTAGACTACTTTATGGGGCAATGTACATATACGCTATAACAACAAAGTACCAGAAAATAATCAAAAATTTATCAAAATTATATAATATATACAATATACAATATTATTAATCAAAAATTTTAAAATTTTAATCAAGCAAAACCTGTTTAAAGGATATTATTACTAAAGAGTATATGATGGGTAATAAACCCTGGGAAGGAGTGAATATTGAAGCATACCCAATACAAAATGGCAGATTATACTCCTCAGCGTCAGGTGTAACCTGCCAGGACAAAATAAAACAAAATAGTCTGTTGCACTGCTACCATTTGTGTTATGAACTTGCATTACTTTAAAAAAATTTTTGTCACGCCATAGATTTTCTCATTTTATTTTCCTTCGTGTAAAAAATTCTGATTAATAATATCATTCCTATAAAATTTACGGCTAAAAGCTTAACTACTGAGATAATTCAGCTCTATTCGTAGTTATATAGCATCATACGTAACTATACATGTGGGTAGTTATAAGTAGTTAGGCAATATTGTTTCATTCCGCTTTTCTGAAATTCACGTACCTTGGCCTTGGCAGCATCGAGCAGGTCACCCAGTGTGGCGAGCTGGTGCTGGCGCGCGGCGGCCAGCTCGCGCGCCGCGCCCGCCTCCTGCTCCCAGTGCTGCACCGCGCCCTCCAGCCCCCTGCACACGCACTCCTGCACTGTACTGCCGTACGACCCGTACTGTGTACTGCTACACGCACTCCTGTACTGTAGTGCCATTCCCACCCGTACTCTGTACTGACAAACGCATTCATGCACTGTACTGCCACCCGCACCCATACTCTGTACTGCCACATGCACTCCTGCACCGTACTGCCACCCGCACCTATACTCTGTACTGCCACACGCATTCCTGCACTGTACTGCCACCCGCACCTATACTCTGTACTGCCACACGCATTCCTGCACTGTACTGCCACCCGCACCAGTACTCTGTACTGCCACTCGCACTCCTGCACTGTACTGCCCCCCCGCACATATACTCTGTACTGCCACACGCACTCCTGCACCGTACTGCCCCCCACACCTATACTCTGTACTGCCACAGGCACTCCTGCACCGTACTGCCACCCGCACATATACTTTGTACTGCCACATGCACTTCAGCTCTGTACAGTCACCCGCACCCGTACTCTGTACTGCCACACGCACTCCTGCACCGTACTGCCACCCGCACATATACTCTGTACTGCCACATGCACTTCAGCTCTGTACAGTCGCCCGCACCCGTACTCTGTACTGCCGCCACAGGCACTCCTGCACCGTACTGCCACCCGCATATATACTCTGTACTGCCACACGCACTCCTGCACCGTACTGACACCCGCACATAAACTCTGTACTGCCACACGCACTCCTGCACCGTACTGCCACCCGCACATATACTCTGTACTGACAGGATTGAGTACTGCCCGCACATCTGTACTGCCACACGCACTTCAGCCCTGTACAGTCACCCTCACCCGTACTCTGTACTGCCGCCACAGGCACTCCTGCACCGTACTGCCACCCGCACATATACTCTGTACTGCCACACGCACTCCTGCACCGTACTGCCACCCGCACATATACTCTGTACTGCTACAGGCACTCCTGCACCGTACTGCCACCCGCACATATACTCTGTACTGCCACACGCACTCCTGCACCGTACTGCCACCCGCACATATACTCTGTACTGCCACACGCATTTCTGCACCGTACTGCCACCCGCACATATACTCTGTACTGCCACACGCACTCCTGCACCGTACTGCCAACCGCACATATAATCTGTACTGCCACACGCACTTCAGCTCTGTACAGTCACCCTCACCCGTACTCTGTACTGCCGCCACAGGCACTCCTGCACCGTACTGCCACCCGCACATATACTCTGTACTGCCACAGGCACTCCTGCACCGTACTGCCACCCGCACATGTACTCTGTACTGCCACAGGCACTCCTGCACCGTACTGCCACCCGCACATATAATCTGTACTGCCACACGCACTTCAGCTCTGTACAGCACCCTCACCCGTACTCTGTACTGCCCCACAGGCACTCCTGCACCGTACTGCCACCCGCACATATACTCTGTACTGCCACAGGCACTCCTGCACCGTACTGCCACCCGCACATATACTCTGTACTGCCACAGGCATTTCTGCACCGTACTGCCACCCGCACATGTACTCTGTACTGCCACAGATGCTCTGTACGTGCCTGTCTGCCACAGGCACTCCTGCACCGTACTGCCACCCGCACATATACTCTGTACTGCCACACGTACTCCTGCACCGTACTGCCACCCGCACATATACTCTGTACTGCCACACGCATTTCTGCACCGTACTGCCACCCGCACATGTACTCTGTACTGCCACATGCACTTCAGCTCTGTACAGTCGCCCGCACCCGTACTCTGTACTGCCGCCACAGGCACTCCTGCACCGTACTGCCACCCGCACATATACTCTGTACTGCCACACGTACTCCTGCACCGTACTGCCACCCGCACATATACTCTGTACTGCCAAACGCACTCATGCACCGTACTGCCCCCCGCACCTATACTCTGTACTGCCACACGCACTCCTGCACTGTACTGCCCCACGCACATATACTCTGTACTGCCACACGCACTCCTGCACCGTACTGCCCCCCCACATCTATACTCTGTACTGCCACAGGCACTCCTGCACCGTACTGCCACCCGCACATATACTTTGTACTGCCACATGCACTTCAGCTCTGTACAGTCACCCGCAACCGTACTCTGTACTGCCACACGCACTCCTGCACCGTACTGCCACCCGCACATATACTCTGTACTGCCACAGGCACTCCTGCACCGTACTGCCACCCGCACATATAATCTGTACTGCCACACGCACTTCAGCTCTGTACAGTCACCCTCACCCGTACTCTGTACTGCCGCCACAGGCACTCCTGCACCGTACTGCCACCCGCACATATACTCTGTACTGCCACACGCACTCCTGCACCGTACTGCCACCCGCACATATACTCTGTACTGCCACATGCACTTCAGCTCTGTACAGTCGCCCGCACCCGTACTCTGTACTGCCGCCACAGGCACTCCTGCACCGTACTGCCACCCGCACATATACTCTGTACTGCCACACTCATTCCTGCACTGTAGCCACCCGCACCTATACTCTGTACTGCCACATGCACTTCAGCTCTGTACTGCCCCGCACATATACTCTGACTGCCACACGCACTTCAGCTCTGTACAGTCGCCCCCACCCGTACTCTGTACTGCCGCCACAGGCACTCCTGCACCGTACTGCCACCCGCACATATACTCTGTACTGCCACACGCACTCCTGCACCGTACTGCCACCCGCAATAATACTCTGTACTGCCACACGCATTCCTGCACTGTACTGCCACCCGCACCTATACTCTGTACTGCCACACGCATTCCTGCACTGTACTGCCACCCGCACCAGTACTCTGTACTGCCACTCGCACTCCTGCACTGTACTGCCCCCCCGCACATATACTCTGTACTGCCACACGCACTTCAGCTCTGTACAGTCGCCCGCACCCGTACTCTGTACTGCCGCCACAGGCACTCCTGCACCGTACTGCCACCCGCATATATACTCTGTACTGCCACACGCACTCCTGCACCGTACTGCCACCCGCACATATACTCTGTACTGCCACACGCACTCCTGCACCGTACTGCCACCCGCACATATACTCTGTACTGCCACACGCACTCCTGCACCGTACTGCCAACCGCACATATAATCTGTACTGCCACACGCACTTCAGCTCTGTACAGTCACCCTCACCCGTACTCTGTACTGCCGCCACAGGCACTCCTGCACCGTACTGCCACCCGCACATATACTCTGTACTGCCACAGGCACTCCTGCACCGTACTGCTACCCGCACATATACTCTGTACTGCCACAGGCACTCCTGCACCGTACTGCCTCCCTCACATATACTCTGTACTGCCACACGCACTCCTGCACCGTACTGCCACCCGCACATATACTCTGTACTGCCACAGGCACTCCTGCACCGTACTGTTACCCGCACATATACTCTGTACTGCCACATGCACTTCAGCTCTGTACAGTCACCCGCACCCGTACTCTGTACTGCCACACGCACTCTTGCACCGTACTGCCACCCGCACATATACTCTGTACTGTCACATGCACTTCAGCTCTGTACAGTCGCCCACACCCGTACTCTGTACTGCCGCCACAGGCACTCCTGCACCGTACTGCCACCCGCACATAAACTCTGTACTGCCACACGCACTCCTGCACCGTACTGCCACCCGCACATATACTCTGTACTGCCAAACGCACTCATGCACCGTACTGCCACCCGCACATACACTCTGTACTGCCACAGGCACTCCTGCACCGTACTGCCACCCGCACATATACTCTGTACTGCCACATGCACTTCAGCTCTGTACAGTCACCCGCACCCGTACTCTGTACTGCCGCCACAGGCACTCCTGCACCGTACTGCCACCCGCACATATACTCTGTACTGCCACTGGCACTTCAGCTCTGTACAGTCACCCGTACCCGTACTCTGTACTGCCGCCACAGGCACTCCTGCACCGTACTGCCACCCGCACATATACTCTGTACTGCCAAACGCACTCCTGCACCGTACTGCCACCCGCACATATACTCTGTACTGCCACAGGCACTCCTGCACCGTACTGCTACCCGCACATATACTCTGTACTGCCACATGCACTTCAGCTCTGTACAGTCACCCGCACCCGTACTCTGTACTGCCACACGCACTCCTGCACCGTACTGCCACCCGCACATATACTCTGTACTGCCACATGCACTTCAGCTCTGTACAGTCGCCCGCACCCGTACTCTGTACTGCCGCCACAGGCACTCCTGCACCGTACTGCCACCCGCACATATACTCTGTACTGCCACACGCACTCCTGCACCGTACTGCCACCCGCACATATACTCTGTACTGCCAAACGCACTCCTGCACCGTACTGCCACCCGCACATATACTCTGTACTGCCACAGGCACTCCTGCACCGTACTGCCACCCGCACATATACTCTGTACTGCCACATGCACTTCAGCTCCGTACAGTCATCCGCACCCGTACTCTGTACTGCCGCCACAGGCACTCCTGCACCATACTGCCACCCGCACATATACTCTGTACTGCCACACGCACTCCTGCACCGTACTGCCACCCGCACCTATACTCTGTACTGCCACACGAACTCCTGCACTGTATTGCCAACCGCACCAGTACTCTGTACTGCCACACGCACTCCTGCACCGTACTACCACCCGCACATATACTCTGTACTGCCACGTGCACTTCTGCTCTGTACTGCCACCCGCACCCGTACTCTGTACTGCCACCCGCACCCGTACTCCGTACTGCCACCCGCACCCGTACTCTGTAGTGCCACCCGCACCCGTACTCTGTACTGCCACCCGCACCCATACACTGTACTTCCACACGCACTCCTTTACTATACTATACTGACACACACACTCTTATACTATAGTGTACTGCTACACACATCCGTACTATGTACTGCCACACGCACTCCTACTTATACTTTCGCTTGCACACCTAACCCGAGCCCTCAGACACACACTTTTAAACACACACGCAACCACATACACATTCCTTACTTTACCCGCGTCGCACAACCACATGCATACGGACCTGCTTTATCTTACACACTCATACACCTTGCTAGCACATATTTATAAGTCATATTGCCTTACAACACGCCTTCACGAATGATTACAAAATAACAACACTAAATATATTCCTAATTGACTTTACACATACTAATATGAATGGTTACAGCAACCTAACCATATCGTTATTTTGAAATTCGAATTCTCGACTTTGTTATAACTAAATTTTTCTGGCCGTGTAGTGGCGGTTGAGAATATCCACTACCCCATATCTTCCCGTGGGTGTCGTAAGAGGCGGCAGAGGGAGACAGGCAGGAGATGGGCAGCAGCATCTTACTGGTAACAACTGTGATAAAATAAAAAACTGCGGTTGCCAACCCGCTCGCCAAGCGTGGCAACTATGGCAAATATCCCCCCATGAATAACGATGCAAAAAAAACGGCCCCCAGTCCCCGGCGGCCCCGCTATTCCTGGATACGGTGGCGACCATGGTCACGGCGGGGCAGGGGGGTGCTAAGAATCTCCGGTGGAGGTTCGGTTGCCACCTACGACGACTCGACCTGGCAACATATAACGCACGCAACCTGAGGATTGACGAGAAGATACTGGAGCTGGAAGAAGAGGTAGACAAGTTGTGCTGGCATATTATTGGATTATCCGAGGTCCGAAGAGAGAGGGAGGACACGGCAACCCTCGAGTCCGGCAACTTGTTCTACCACCGGGAGGGCGACCATCTGTCCCAAGGAGGTGTCGGATTTATCGTCCACAAGTCTCTCGTCAACAACGTTGTAAAGGTTGGGAGTGTGTCGACGAGGGTCGCGTACCTGATACTCAGAATCACCAAACGGTATTCGCTGAAGGTCATACAGGTTTACGCACCAACCTCGGCACATCCCGATGAGGAGGTGGAGGAAATGTATGAGGATATTTCCAGAGCCATGCATTCCTCCAAAACCCACTACACGGTGTTGATGGGAAACTTCAACGCAAAACTAGGCACAAGTGAAAGCGGTTAGCTGAAGGTAGGGAAATTTGGAGTAGGGCAACGGAATCGAAGGGGCCAGCAGCTGGCCGACTTTATTTAGAAAGAGGGACTCTTTATGATGAACTCTTTCTTCCAGAAGCGGCCCCACAGGAGGTGGACCTGGTCGAGCCACGACGGTTCGAGAAAAAATGAGATTGACTTCATTATGACGACCAGGCGCCAACTGTTCAGTGATGTCTCAGTGATCGCAAGGGTGAAAACTGGCAGCGATCACCGAATGGTTAGAGGCACACTGATCCTAAACGTTAAGTTGGAGAGGTCTCGTCTGATGAAGTCAACGCTCCGTCCCCCTCGTGCTCTAATCCAGAATCCCGAAACCTTTCAGCTCGAGTTACAAAACCGCTTTCAGTGCCTAGAGGATTGCAATGCAGTGGACGATATAAATGACAAGCTCGTGGTAACTGTCCATGCGGTCGGAGCTAAGTTCTGCAAGACCCGCCGCAGAAGAACACAAAAACTCTCCGATCACACTCTTAATCTCATGGCTGTTAGACGGGAGATGAGGCTGCATTCGTCAACAGATTTGACAGCATACAGGCAACTGAACAGACAGATCTCCAAATGCATGCGGCGAGAATTACGCAACTTTAATACTGCTCGTATTAAAGAAGCGATCGAGCGGAACCAGGGCTCCAAAGTCTTTGCCAGAGATCTGTCTGCCAGAAAGAGCCAACTGTCAAAGCTGAAGACTGAGTGCAGTGTGAGCAGCATCGTTTACGAGACACCTGAGATTGTGAGTGAGATTGAGAGGTTCTATGGGCAGCGGTACACATCATCGTTGGAGCCACACGCAAGTGTGAGTAACGATCCAAGAGCAAGTCTTATCCGACACTATTCCTATGATATCCCGGACGTCAGTCTGAGCGAGATTAGAATGGCTCTCCAGCACCTTAAAAACGGCAGGGCCCCAGGCGAGGATGGAATTACAGCGGAGCTTCTGAAAGCGGGTGGAACACCGGTACTTGAAGTCCTTCAGAAGCTCTTCAATTCCGTCCTCCATGGTGGCACTACTCGGAGGCGTGGAGCAGAAGTGCGGTGGTCTTGTTCTTTAAGAAAGGCGACAACGCTCTCTTGAAGAACTACAGACCGATTTCCCTTCTGAGCCGCGTCTACGTGCTGTTTTCGAGAGTCATTACGAATCGTCTCGCACGCAGACTCGACGACTTTCAGCCTCCCGAACAAGCTGGTTTCCGAAAAGGCTTCAGTACCATAGACCACATACACATACCCTGCGGCAGATTGTACAGAAGAACGAAGAGTACAATGTGCCACTTTGCCCGGCATATGTGGACTATGAGAAAGCCTTTGATTCCGTCGAAATTTGGGCGGTGCTACAGTCCCTTCAGCGGTGCCAAGTTGACTGTCGGTACATCGAAGTGCTGAAGTGTTTGTACAGTAGGGCTACGATGGCTATCCGAGTACAGAACCAGTGTTCGAAACCTATCCAACTGCAGAGAGGTGTAAGGCAGGGTGATGTTATATCCCCGAAACTCTTCACCGCTGCGTTGGAAACGTTTTCAAGCTACTGGACTGGAAAGGATACGGTATTAACATCAATGGCGAGTACATCACTCACCTTCGATTTGCCGACGATATAGTCTTTATGGCAGAATCGCTGGAGGACCTTAGCACTATGCTCAATGACCTCAATGGTGTCTCCCAACGGATAGGTCTTAAGATGAACATGGACAAAACAAAGAACATGTTTAATGTCCATGTCACACCTATGCCGGTAGTTGTTGGGAGCACTATGCTCAAAGTTGTTGACGAGTACGTTTACCTGGGACAAATAGTCCGACTAGGTAAGTCCAACTTCGACCAAGAGGTCAATCGACAGATTCAACTCGGCTGGGCAGCGTTCGGGAAATTACGACACATCTTCTCGTCAGGTATACCTCAATCTCTGAAAACTAAAGTGTATAACCAGTGCGTGTTGCCAGTGATGACTTACGGATCTGAGACGTGGTCCTTCACTGTTGGCCGTATGAGGACGTTCAAGGTCGCTCAGCGAGCTATGGAGAGGGCTATGCTCGGAGTTTCACTGCGTGATAGACTCAGAAATGAGGATATCCGCAGTAAAACCAGAGTGACCGATATAGCCCAACGGATTAGTAAGCTGAAGTGGCAATGGGCCGGCCATATAGCTCGAAGAACCGATAACCGATGGAGAAGAAAGGTTCTCGAGTGGCAGCCTCGTACCGGTAGGCGTAGTGTAGGGCGACCCCCCACTAGATGGAGTGACGACCTGGTAAGACATGCAGGAAGTCGATGGATGCAGGTGGCTCAGGACCGTGCTTTGTGGCATTACTTGGGGGAGGCCTATGTTCAGCAGTGGACTTGTGAAGGGCTGTAATGATGATGATGATGAAATTTTTCGTTCCCCATCTTTTATTATTAGCCGTTTTTTTTTATTATCATCAGCATTATCGATCAATTACATCCACCTATGGAGGTTAATTTTTACGTTAATAAATGAAACAATACTTTCTTTTAATAATAAAAATACAAATGACTCCTTACATGTACGCGAACACTACACATTTAAATAAATAACTTTTTGCGGCTTTTATCGCGTACATTAACTTAATTTATATTACTGACGTTTCACAGCCCCACGCACAGTCAGGGTCCACGGCGGGACAGCCCCCCCCCCCGTGACTATGGGTGCTGTAAAGTGGTCATAATATAAGCGATAACATCCGTAAAAACTAGTTTTACAAAAATACTAAGTTAAACTTTTACAAAGGGGATTTTCAATCATAAATAAAGCATTGTCAAAGTGCAACTTGGAAAATATTTTTAATGATCGTCGGAGTGTAAATGTAATATGCTTGATATATTCAATAGTAAAATTAAAGCCATTACTTCAAAATTTTAATTTAAACCTGAGACTAAATAGAAACTACTAGTATTTATAACAATGCAACGGGTTAATATATATTAATGGTCCTTCGCGTTCGAAAGACCATAGATATTTGTAATCCGAATAATCTAAATATTTTGAGCCAAATCATAAACATTTGGTTTATGGTAACTGCAAGCTAACACAAACTTTGTATTTAAAAACAAAATAAAACTGCAAACTATAACCAGACAATTGCAGCATCATAGAGTATTCGGCCAGGATCACACACACACACACACACACACACACACACACACACACACACACATATATATATTGTATAAAAATATTAATGATGAGTATGCATTTTTTTTAGTGAACAAATGATATGATATAATATAGTTAAAGTTACAGCCTATACTCATTTCTGAGAGGTTTTAGAGCAAGGAAGTTTCCGCCACACTGCCCCAATGCGTGTTGGCGAGATTCACATGTCTTCGAAATAGTTTTTTCTTATTTTTCAGACATACAGGTTTCCTCACGATGTTTTCCTTCACCGACGAGCAAGCGGTAAATCAACACTTACAGTCTCAATTAACAATTTTATTGGTTTGGAGATTGAACCCGGGCTGCTCAACGCGAGTACCACGCTGTAAAATTTACAGCGAGCGCTAAGGATCTAAGCTACCACGGCTCATATCATATAACGTAATCACTTAATTTCTTACCGAATTCGTTCAACGAGTGCCTCGTTTTCTTTGGTTTTTTCTTCTAGCGCAGTCTTAGTTTCCTTCAGTTCGGTTTCGAGTTGCTCCAGCTTAGCCAGCAAGCCGCGGCGCTCCTCCTGGGACGTCTACAAATATATTCTTTATAGAATAACGTTGACAAACGAGCACACAGTTCACCTGATGGTAAGTGTCACCTATATCTAACCTTGGTTTTGAATCAAAATGCAGATGCGTTGTCATCCCTGAGGAGCAAAATGGAATACCTCATTTCCAGTTAAAAGGGATTCGGTTTTCTACACTCATCATACAAAGCATAGAAGTATTAAGCTGCTATTTGAATTCGCGGTCGATCCAACTCATGACATGGCTCTACCTCTCTACGTATAAAATTATATTTAAAAATATATAATAGAATAATTTGTGAAAATATGAGGTATCAGAGAACTCAAATACAAATCCATAATGGAGTTGAGTTTAATCGTATTAAGCGAAGTCGCTTAATACGATTTTGAAACTCCAATTATGTATACAACTATATAGTTCATTTAAATTTTGTTGTGATCATTGTGAACCTTATTCCGTGACAGAACATGATGAACTTGTACCTAAATATTGTACGAGTCTATATGATATTGTAAAATATGAGGACTTAGTTAAGGATACGTAATTATGAATAAAAAATATTGATAGAAATATGTAGGTAAAAGTGTGACGTAGGTACTAAAAATATGTAGGTAAAAGTGTGACGTAGGTACTAAAAATATGTAGGTAAAAGTGTGACGTAGGTACTAAAAATATGTAGGTAAAAGTGTGACGTAGGTACTAAAAATATGTAGGTAAAAGTGTGACGTAGTACTAAAAATATGTAGGTAAAAGTGTGACGTAGGTACTAAAAATATGTAGGTAAAAGTGTGACGTAGGTACTAAAAATATGTAGGTAAAAGTGTGACGTAGGTACTAAAAATATGTAGGTAAAAGTGTGACGTAGGTACTAAAAATATGTAGGTAAAATTGTGACGTAGCTACTAAAAATATGTATGTAAAAGTGTGACGTAGGTACTAAAAATATGTAGGTAAAAGTGTGACGTAGGTACTAAAAATATGTAGGTAAAAGTGTGACGTAGGTACTAAAAATATGTAGGTAAAAGTGTGACGTAGCTACTAAAAATATGTAGGTAAAGTGTGACGTAGCTACTAAAAATATGTAGGTAAAAGTGTGACGTAGGTACTAAAAATATGTAGGTAAAAGTGTGACGTAGGTACTAAAAATATGTAGGTAAAAGTGTGACGTAGGTACTAAAAATCATCAGAGGTAAGCATATCCACATATAATTAACATGATCAGCTGAGAGTTTGGCAAACCTAATAACCAATTAAATTTTAAGGTTGTTCGGATACTATGAAATGCGGGACAAGTTTTATTGTATTGTTAATAAAAAAAAATGAGAATTTATTATGTATATGAATATTGTCCATAGTGTTGATCATGTATGTACCCGTACCGTGTACGTGAAAGTTATGGTACAATTAAATAATGAATAATATGAGCTAAGATACTATAAACGTAAAGCAGTAATGAAATGATATTGCCTATTGTCTTGATCAAGTATGTATGTACGCGAAAGAAATGGCACAATTATTATTTAATTAAAGAATAGCTAAAATGCCATTGCGTGAAATGAAAAATAAGTAATGGTTCACCAAGGATAAAGTAAATATATGAAGTGTAATAAAAAAAAGAATTATATAAAAATATGATAATGAAAATATTATAATATATTATTAACATCCGAACTAGATAAGTGATAACATGACAGAATTGATGACTTATAGACTAGTTAACTAAATGGATAAGATATTGTACGAATAAATTGTAATTGTGCGCCAATCTATTATGTAAAGTTATAACCCTCCACTTCGACAAATAAGTGTGCACACAACAATACGAATATATATATATATATATATATATATATATATATATATATATACACAACATATATATACAATATAGGGGGATAAGTCGCTCGCGTCCGTAGGCTTCGACCACCTAATCCTAGGCCCATCCTACACGTTTCCCCCGGATGGTGCTAAAAGAGCGACAAAGCCGAAAGAACAGACTCGGCTACTCGCCGTGTGGTAGCGGCGTAAAATAGTAAAATATGCCACACCCTAGTTTTCGCACCATGAGGCAAAAAGTAAATGAAATGGCCCCGAGTTCCCGGCGCCCCTTTAATGGGGCAGGGGTGCGAAGAATCTCCGGGAGGAAAACCGGCGACGAGGTTCGCCACCCGTCACGTTCTGTCTCCCAGAGAGGCGAAAAGTGGATTGCAGAGGCCCGTCTGGCTACGTTGAATGTATGTGGGGCAATGAATGATAAAATGGATGAAGTATGCGATATGATGTATGATAGAGGAATAGATGTATTATGTGTAAATGAGACGAGACGAAAGGAAGGGGAAGGATGTCACTGCACACGGCATGTATACCGCATACTGGTCTGGTGTAGACGAGATGGAGCGGGTATGCCAGGGAGTAGGTATCATCCTTTCAGAAAGAATGGGCCAATGTGTGAAAGTGTAATGATGGGAGGTTCGGGGAATAAATAATACGTCTACTGGTCTTGAATGTAGGTTTATTACTGACCCTCTCTTGTCTCTTATTCTATCCTACATATATATGACTACACACTACAAAAGAGTATGAATGTGTAAGCCCAAGACTGCTATGGATACGTATGAAAGTGGGCTCAAAGAAGTTGTTTGTGTTAGGGGTCTACGCCCCAGACATGTCTAAGCCCACTTATATCCGAGAGCAGTTTTAGGAATGGAAGGGTTGGGGTGAGGAGGCTTGATTATGAAAGGATATTGGGAACGTTTGGTGATGAAAGTACAAATGAGAATGATGAAAGCCTCCTCACCGTATGTGTGGAAAGGAATCTTTTTGTGACGAACACTTTCTTTCGTCATAAGAAGATTCACATGTATACTTGGGAAAGAGGTGATGATAGAAGCATGATAGATTTCATAACTGTGGATGAAAGAATGAGGAGCGCAGTGGTGGATACAAGGGTTTACCGGGGGTCCAACGTAGGGACGGACCACTACCTGGTCTTATGCCAAATTAGGGGTTTATTCAGACGTTGGCGGCATAGGACATCTGTGTCTACCACTGCGTTACAGCGTATAAGAATTGAGAGGTTACAAGATGAAGATGTGAAAGACAAGTACAAATGCGGACTGAGAGAAAATATAAGTAATTTGGATGAGTTGTGTGTGAATGAGTTAGACTTGGAGAATGTGTGGCATAATGTTAAGAAAGGTTTAGTGGATGCAGCTACCGAAGTATGTGATGTTAGTAAGAGAACGAATGAAAGGAAAGACAATACGTTATGGTGGGATGATGAGGTACGTATGGAAGTTGAAGCAAAGAAGAGAGCATGGCTAGATTTACTAGCGACCAAAGCTGGTAATTCTGGTGGTAAGAATGATGAGATTGAAAGAAAAAAGGCAAAGTTTAAACGTTTAAATAAGAGAGTAAAAGAATTAGTTGAAAGGAAAAAGCAAAAAAGAACGGATAAGGATGATAGAAGAATATCGGATAACTTCCAGGCAAATATTAAATTGTTCTGGAAACTTGTAAGAACTGCCAGGGGACATTCAAAATAGCCTATGATGAATGTTATAAGAGACGAGAATGGCTATATTCTGAAAGATGAAGTTTTGAGTTTAAAGAGATGGAAGGAATATTTTGAAAGCGTGTTTATGAGTGAGGAGAAGTGTGAACTAAATGAAATAGAAATTCCGAAAGAACATGAAAGAGATAGGGAGATAAGTATAGATGAAATAATGAAAGCAATGAAAAGCATGAAAGTAGGTAAGGCAGCCGGATATGATAGAGTTTTACTCGAAATGCTAAGGGCTGGAGAGGACGTGGTGGCAGTCCCGCTGTACACCTTGTTTAATTTATGTTGGGAACTAAAGCGGGTACCGGGAGACTGGTGCAAAGCCGTGATAGTCCCAATATATAAGGGAAAAGGGTCACAGCAGGACTGTAAAAACTACCATGGTATCAGCCTTCTTAGCATTGTGGGAAAACTGTATGCTAAGGTACTGATTGAAAGAGTTATGAAAGAAACAGATGGAAAGATTTGGGATGTGCAAGCGGGATTTAGAAAGGGAATGTGGTGTACAGATCAACCAAAAAGTTTTTTGTGCGTTCATGGACTTGGAAAAGGCTTATGACAGAGTGGACAGGGATGTGTTATGGCAAACGCTGAACGCATTTAGGTTGAGCGCTGGTTTGATACAGGCATTAAAGTCTCTGTATAGGGACTCGAGTGCTTGTGTTAGAATCAACCGGGTCTACTCGGACTGGTTTGGCATCCATAAAGGTGTCAGACAGGGCTGTGTGGCTTCACCGTGGCTGTTCAACCTATTTATGGACAGCTGTTTGGAAAATTTAAAAGTTGAAGAATGCGGGTTAAGAACGGGTGAGTTAACCATCAAATGCCTTTTGTACGCCTATGATCAAGTCATACTTGCGTCGTCGGCGGCCGAGTTGCAAATGATGGTTACATTAATGAACAGGATATTAAAAGAAAGTGAACGCAAGTAAGACGAAAGTGATGGTTTTTGAAAGAGAAGAAAGTAAAACGGTATGTGAAATAAGAATAGAAGGAGAGTTAATTGAGCAAGTGGATGAGTTTGTGTATTTGGGATGTGTATTCAGCAGGGATGGGAGATATGATAAGGATATTGAACGACGAGTGAATGCAGGAAATAAAGTAAATGGGGCTCTACACTCTATTGTGAAAAGTCAGAATGTGTCAAAAAAGGCACGTATGGCAATTCACAGTGCTGTATTAGTCCCTACTTTAACGTATGGTAGTGAAAGTTGGGTGTGGCAGAAGAAGCACGAGAGTAGAATAAATGCAGTAGAAATGCGGTCGCTAAGGAGTATGTTAGGGCTGAATCTGAGTGACAGGGTGAGAAACTGTGTGATAAAAGAAGAGTGTGGTTTGCAAGATGATGCGGTGACCAGGATTAAGAAAGGAATGCTTCGGTTGTTTGGTCATGTAGAAAGAATGAATGCGGAAAGACTGACAAAGCAAATATATGTTGCAGAAGTGAATGGAAGAGTCGGAAAGGGACGTCCTAGGCGGAAGTTTGTCGACCAAATTGGCGATATACTAAAAATGGGCCAAATTAAGAGTACCGTTAACCGACGAGCATGTATGCGTAGGTATATGGATGTGGAAGAAGCGAGAAAGGTATGTCAGGATCGTGCTAAATGGAAGTCTGTAGTCTTTGCCTACCCCTCTGGGTGACAGGCGTGTTATATATACAACACGTAACATAATTAACGCACTTTCAGAAAGTAGTTTGTTCAGAATCGTTTACTGATTCGATTCCTATCATTTTTAATATAGGTAATTTTTTATCCCAAAGATAATTAAAACTACGTAAATTACAGTCACACTAAATCTGTACATTCAAAACAAACTGAAATGGACCGTAACCTAAGGCAATAAGACTTGAGAGTGCAGTTTTATTTGTATTATTACCAATTCTGTCATTCAATAAAAATAAAGAAAAATGAACTTTATTTCAAGCACATTAAAGTCTTTGCGTTCGTGGATTTGTACTGTGACCACAACATTCTTCCGAATTAGTATAACTAATTTGATAAATAATCAGTGCATAAAAATGTTTAACTAAAATTCAGTGTATGTATTATGATTATAACATAATAAGTATACTAATTGGGGTGTCTGAGGGTGTGCGTTAATTACGTTACATAATGTATAAGAGGCCTGTTTAACCTAACTTGATTTACTAGTATTTTGTTTATTACATAGTAAATTGTTAAATAAAATAGGAATAGTATATTGTGTATAAAAAAACTATTAAATTATTCTTTATTAATTTGTCATTGGCAGGTGTGACGTCGTGCTGTAGTCCAAACGACATAGTTATATATTAGAGTTAATTTTGTAATAAAAGAGCAGTTTAATTAAAGTCATAGCAAGAGTAACAAGTCTCCTTTTTTCATTGACACCTTTACTACAATACAAGGTGTGAGTTGGTCAGTGAGTGAGTGAATAAGTGATCGGGTAAGTGGGTAACTGACTGAGTGTGTATGGGCGGGTAGGTGAGATTTAGGACGAACGACGTACCTTGAGCACTGCGAAGAGGTGCTGGTGCTGGTCCCCGGTCGCCAGCACCTCGGGCTCCACTCCCTCGCGCAGCAGCAGCTCCTGGAGCGTGTCCACCTGCACGCACACAAGCCAATACTCTCATAGGGTTACACACACGCAAACGTGTGTACGTACACATATACACATGTGAGTGTATGTGTACATAAGTACTACTTTAGAAAATGTCGGTATTTCGATACAATCTCAAACTCTAGAGACAAATTCGATCTTTCTGATCTTTGTTTTGTCCATGTTCACCTTAAAACCTATCCGTTTGGAGGCACTATTGAGGTCATTGACCTAAGTGCTATGACTTAGGTTTTCCAGCGATTCTGCCGTAAGGACTACATTGTCGGCAAACCGAAGGTGAGTGATGTACTCGCCAGTGACGTTAAAACCGTGTCCTTTCCAGTCCAGTAGCTTGAAAACATCTTCCAATGCAGCGGCTAAGAGTTTCAGGGATATAACGTCACCCTCCCTGTCTTACACCTCTCTGCAGTTAAATAGGTTCCGTACCCTGATCCTATACTCGGATAGCTATCGTAGCACTACTGTACTTCAGCACTTCGATATACCATGTCAACTTAGCAACGCTGAAAAGACTGCTGCACTGCTCAAATTTCGACGGAATCAAGGGATTTTTTATAGTACCCATATGCAAGACAAAGAGGCAGATTGTACTCTTCGAGCTTCCGTACAATTAGCCGAAGGGTATGTGGTCTATGGTGCTTAGCCTTTTCGGAAACCAGCTTGCTCAGAGGGCAGGAAGTCAATGAGTCTGCGTACGAGACGATTCGTAACGACTATCGAAAACAGCACGTAGATGCGGCTCAGAAGGAATATCGGTCTATAGTTCTTCAAGAGAGCGTTGTCGCCTTTCTTGAAGAACAAGACCACTACACTTCTGCTCCGCATCTTCAGAGTAGTGCCAACATGGAGGATAGAATTTAAAAGCTTATAAAGGACTACAAGTACTGATCTTTCACCCGCTTTCAGAAGCTCCGCGTAATTATATCCTCGCCTGGGATTTCATATGAGGCCGAACTTGCGCCTTGTAAATTTACAAGCTGTGTGCCGGCATGAAATACTGTCCCACTCTCGGGAGCACGCCAAGCATTTTAGAGGCCAATTTGGATTCTCTTACGTGTCCACTATACAGCAGTTATTATACTTATAATTAATAAATAGTATAAGTTCATTAATTCTCTTATTTTTTTAATTATGGGTTTGTGGGAAAAGTATGTGTACCTTGGTGCGGCTGTCCTCGAGCTTCTCGGTCTGCCGGCAGAGTGATTCCAGCAGCACCTGCTTCTCGTCTGCCAGGCGCTCGTTGTCCGCGTGCGCGTCGGCCAGCTGCGCCTGCAGGTCAGCCAGTTCCGCCAGCGTGGCCTGCAGCTCCTCGCTCGTGCTGCACACACACACCGGTGGGTGTCGCAAAAGCCCCAAGTGGAATGTATACGGGAATTGTGGACCAAGATGTCATTCTATCAGAGCGCCACCCTTCATTTTGCTCACCGGTATGAGCCAGTCACTCGAGACTTTTCGTTATTCACCGGTTGTTAAGTCTTCGAGTTACATGGTTGGCCTATTGCCACTTCAGCTTACTGATGCGTCTAATTTATTATTGCATATAAGAACCTAACAAATTGTAAAATTACTTTTCTATCAAAACGTATTCTACAATTATCTACCTTTAAGCATACCGTTTCCTACAGAAATTGCATAAATCTCGAGAATTATCACTCACGCAAAACGAGAAAAGTAAAGGAGACAAAATTGATCCTTGAGGCATTCCTCTCTTAGCGGACATTCTCTAGAGATTTATAAGAATATGTACAGTGCATAAGATAAAAGTATTATTTTTTTTTTAATAGAACATCATGCTAGGTTTCTTTCAGTTGTTTAGTCAATATATTTCAGAATATGGATGGATTTATCCTTTAAAATTGAAACAATTATATGAACTAATTGCTACTCTTTACTTCTCTTAGTAAGTACTTTTAAGTACTTTTTAGTCAATAGCTATTCTAAAATCTAACTAACAACTACTTATTAATTTATATATAAAACAAAAAATGTTTAAGGTTTAATGATGTGATGATCATAAAACTAAATAAGGTTTCTATGACAATAATGATTAATGAACTAAAATGCCACAGAGGTAATGAGTTGTCACCTGCTGATGTTTTGAAGTTAAAGATAAAATTTAAAGATATGACCACTGACGAAAAAATTTCTGAGAATGAAACAAACATTTAGTATGTTCATGGACTCGTGTTTAACTAATGGCCATATAATGGTAAATTCGTACCTTTGTCTAACAGAAACAGGTGTGTGTGATCCACAAAAATACTGAAGTAGAAGAATGTTTACTTCCCGATCCACCTCCACAATACCAAAATTAAATACATTAAAGATAAGTTATAACAACAAGCGAGCAAGTATATATTATAATGTACTTTTTAACTTTAAGAGAATGTAATCTTTACTACAGCTATAGTTTAAATATGTTACAGCCACCACAGGAATATAACTTTAAGCTTAAAAGGATACGTTGTTAAAGTGATCCTTGTATCGTAAGAAGTCAAAATCTTTCAAGACCGTTTACTCCGAAGCTTCTACATAATGTACATTGACACTCAGAAATTCTTGTAACCATAAGATTTTAATAGAGAATATCGTAGCGAAGTATTCAACAAAATGTCGATATTCAGCTTTGTGCTATCGCACATTTACCTACACGTGATATTTTATAGATCCGGTGACGAGACTCCGAGTTGAGTAGTCCCTGAATGAGACAAACTTTCGTGAAGAGTCTACACGAACGTTCGTAACATTCAAAGTCAGGTATTAGTGGCGCAGTCACGTACAGTAATGCATCATATTGACCTGTAGTGGTGCTCCTCCATCTGTAAGATGCGGTCCTGCAGGCAGGCTACAGACACCTCGCTCAATGACGATGAAGAGTGCTTGTCCCACTCCGGCGTGCTCGCCTCCCCGCTGTCACCCTCCCCCTGCAAACGCACAACCATACCATTGAAACTAACAAAGTAAAACATAGATGCAGTGAATATTTCTCTATTTTTTTTTTTATAGGAGACGGGCAAACGAGCATACGACTCACCTGATGGTAAGTGATTAGTGATTACTGTCGCCCATGAGCAACTGCAACACCAGGGGAATTGCAGATGTGTTGCCGGCCTTTTAAAAAGGAGTAGGCTCTTTTCTTGAAGGTCTCTAAGTCATATCGGTCCGGAAAAATCTCGAGAGAAAACTTCTTTTAAATCACACGGTGGTGGACCGCCAGTCATCCAGATGGTATGGATGGTATCGCGAGCTTTGTCGCGATGTGCGATGGTGATATTGTGCGGCTGGAATTAGTCCGAACAATTCCTCAGAGCACTCCCCGTGGTAAATGCGATAAAATACGTAGAGATACAAACATCTATTCGTAGTGCCAGTGAGTCAAGCCGATCGGAAAGAGCTCGATCGCCGATGATTCGAACAGTTCTGCGCTGAATGCGATCAAATGGAAGGAGCTGGCACTGGAGAGCCCCGGCCCAGAGATGGGAACAGTATTCCATGTGCGGCCGAACCTACGCCTTGTGAAGTTGCAGGCGGTCAGCCGGCATAAAATACTGTCCCACTCTGCTGAGCACGCCAAGCTTTTTAGAGGCCAACTTGGCCTTCTCTTCCAAATGACCACGAAACTGCACGTATGACACATATGTCGACGCCGAGGATTGCAATACTGGCTGAGGCAACAAGGGGAATGCCTTGAAACTGAGGAGATACAACGAAGGGGTTTTTTTAGCGGTAAACGCGCAAACTTGTGTCTTCTGGGGATTAAACTAGACTAGATTTAGTCGCCCCAGAACGAGACTTTGTTCAACAAAGTTTCGACTTCAGACACAAGTTTGTCCCGGTACTCGTCGATATTTATCCGAGAAATATTGGCACCGCCGGTGTACAAAGCATCACTAGTGATGTCATAGCAATGAATGTTGCCGGTTTGCAACATGTCATTGATATGCAGAAGAAACAGCGTTGGTGATAGCACGCAGCCTTTTCGAACACCAGCATTAATGGGCTTGTAATCGGAGCATGCACCGGCTACTTGGAGCTTGATGCTCCGATCAGTAAGAAAACTGGTGATCCAATAGCACAACTTCTCGAGAAGCCCATAGGAAGGAATCTTCGTAAGAAGCGCTTTGTGAACCCGATAGAAGGCTTTCGCTATGTCCAAACTAACGGCCAACGGCTGGCTGTTAATAATGGATTCCATTATTTTAGAGAACAAGGAGGTGATGGCGATAGGCCTATAGTTGGACGGATCAGAGCGGTTACCTTTTTTAGGGATCGGGTGCACAAGGGCTGTCTTCCATGATTTCGGCACTACGCCGAAAGAGTAGTAGTATCGGAAAAGACGCGTTAAAACCAGTGCTAACTCCGAAGCACACGTATTCAGCACAATAGGAGGGACGCAATCCGGCCCACACGACTTGTTGACGTCCAGGGAGAGGAGTCTGCGCACTGGGAGTAGGGTAAACAGCACATGCTGCATGTAGCCCTCACTCTGCGGGATGGTCGGCGGTGTGTTTCCCCGTCATCAAGAGTCGAGTTGGACGCAAAGAGAGAGCACAGCAGATCGGCTTTGTCCTTTGCAACATGAGCCAGTGAGTCGTCCTCCCTGTGCAGAGATGGGAGAGATAGCTGACAGAAGTTTCCTTGGGCAGCTTTGGCGAGAGAGTAGAATGCACGTGTTCCCGAAGATGCGTACGATGGAGGCGGGCGCGGAGAAGTGCATGCGGCGCGGAGAAGTGCATGCGGCGCGGCGCCAGCAGCAGCTGCCGCTTCTCGCTGCAGGCTGCAACATTACAGATACGTACGTTGTGCGCCAGCGCGATGGAGGCGGGCGCGGAGAAGTGCATGCGGCGCGGCGCCAGCAGCTGCTGCCGCTTCTCGCTGCAGGCTGCAACATTACAGATACGTACGTTGTGCGCCAGCGCGATGGAGGCGGGCGCGAAGAAGTGCATGCGGCGCGGCGCCAGCAGCAGCTGCCGCTTCTCGCTGCAGGCTGCAACATTACAGATACGTACGTTGTGCGCCAGCGCGATGGAGGCGGGCGCGGAGGAGTGCATGCGGCGCGGCGCCGGGCAGCAGCAGCTGCCGCTTCTCGCTGCAGGCTGCAACATTACAGATACGTACGTTGTGCGCCAGCGCGATGGAGGCGGGCGCGGAGGAGTGCATGCGGCGCGGCGCCGGCGCCAGCAGCAGCTGCCGCTTCTCGCTGCAGGCTGCAACATTACAGATACGTACGTTGTGCGCCAGCGCGATGGAGGCGGGCGCGGAGGAGTGCATGCGGCGCGGCGCCGGCGAGCAGCAGCTGCCGCTTCTCGCTGCAGGCTGCAACATTACAGATACGTACGTTGTGCGCCAGCGCGATGGAGGCGGGCGCGGAGGAGTGCATGCGGCGCGGCGCCGGCAGCAGCTGCCGCTTCTCGCTGCAGGCTGCAACATTACAGATACGTACGTTGTGCGCCAGCGCGATGGAGGCGGGCGCGGAGGAGTGCATGCGGCGCGGCGCCGAGCAGCAGCTGCCACTTCTCGCTGCAGGCTGCAACATTACAGATACGTACGTTGTGCGCCAGCGCGATGGAGGCGGGCGCGGAGGAGTGCATGCGGCGCGGCGCGGCGCCAGCAGCAGCTGCCGCTTCTCGCTGCAGGCTGCAACATTACAGATACGTACGTTGTGCGCCAGCGCGATGGAGGCGGGCGCGGAGGAGTGCATGCGGCGCGGCGCCGGCGCCAGCAGCAGCTGCCGCTTCTCGCTGCAGGCTGCAACATTACAGATACGTACGTTGTGCGCCAGCGCGATGGAGGCGGGCGCGAAGAAGTGCATGCGGCGCGGCGCGGCGCCAGCAGCAGCTGCCGCTTCTCGCTGCAGGCTGCAACATTACAGATACGTACGTTGTGCGCCAGCGCGATGGAGGCGGGCGCGGAGGAGTGCATGCGGCGCGGCGCCGGCGCCAGCAGCAGCTGCCGCTTCTCGCTGCAGGCTGCAACATTACAGATACGTACGTTGTGCGCCAGCGCGATGGAGGCGGGCGCGGAGGAGTGCATGCGGCGCGGCGCCAGCAGCAGCTGCCGCTTCTCGCTGCAGGCTGCAACATTACAGATACGTACGTTGTGCGCCAGCGCGATGGAGGCGGGCGCGGAGGAGTGCATGCGGCGCGGCGCCGGCGCCAGCAGCAGCTGCCGCTTCTCGCTGTCGGACAGCGGCGAGTGAGCGACGCCGCGCAGCCGCGCTCTCAGCGCTCCGTTTTCGTCCGCCAGACGCTCCATCGCAGCCTCCCGCTCAGCCTCCGCCGCCTGCAACGTACGACACACTTCGTCACTTCAGACCGTGGCTCAATTCCAAAAGTCGCGGAAAGGTGAACTATCGACCCGTCAGGAATGGTATTTTATATTGTATCTAACTTGTATTGCAATAATTGAGAAACTGAGTGCAGTGTATTAAAAAATATAGTTCCATTTACATCCGTCATGAGCACTGTTCATATTTCTATACATTTGTAGTCGTTGCATGAAAACGTTCGTGTCGGAAATTCTTGTTAAGGGCTCCGTCCACAGCTCCCAAAAAAGCATCAGCAACCTAAAAATTTGAATAACGCACGTCAAAATAAAAGGAGCGAGTATAGTGGTGTACCTTCAGTCGGTGCAGCTCCGCGCTCAGAGCATCAGCCTCCGCGGCGCGCTGCTCGAGCTGGTGCAGGCGGGCCTGCAGCTGCGCACGCTCCGCGCTGCAGGCCTCCAGCTCCCGCCGCAGCGCCTCCGTCTCCCGCACGCCGCTGCCTAGCGATGCCTGCAAAGATAAGCTCTCTCTATTTTTTACTTGGACGTTTACTTAATAGAATCAGGCGCTACTTTGCGGATATCCATATATTAAAAATGTTAATATTAAATTAGCTAAGATTCACGTAATAAAATACAACTATGCGATCTTACCAAGTTTAAAGAGCATCTCCCGCCCTCCCTCAATTACGTGAATTATCCTCAGCACCACTACACGTGTTTCGCCTCTACACGTGGCGTCCCCATGTGAAGTAGAACTTCTTTCTTCAAACTAAGTAAGACGGATCATTTTATTTTATTACGCGGATATAAAGTACCTACGAGTAGAATAATGTAAAGTTATAAGTTAGGGTAACAGTTTTTTATCATTATCATCATTTAGTTCTTCACAAGTCCACCGCTGAACATAGGACTCCCCAAATAATCCCACAAAACACGGTCACAACATGCAGATACAATACATATATAATGATGTGGTCGGTCAATTTCACTTGCTTCTATATGTTTATCTTTCTGACTTCACCCTTTTGAATTCACTACTATTCTCATATAAAGAAGATATATCATCATCCTCAACATGCTCAGCAGGGCGGGTTGATAAACTTGCTCTATTTTTGATTAGGAATGATGCGGTCAGGTCTTCGGTTTTTGTCACTCACCGTACCACATACTCACCGTAGTAGTCTTTGCGAGCGTGGTATCTTCCTGGTCGTGTCGCCTCATTCGTGCTGTGGTCATAATATGCTACAGTATAGCTTTTATACAATTTAAAAGTGTTAAGCGAATTTACATTCCACCTAACTGTAATGCTGCCGCTGGACATCTGTATGATGCAGCGTATCATCTGTATCTGCAGGTATCTGTGGGATCTGCTGCAGCGCACGGACCCTTGCAGTCAACTTCAAACGCAAAAGGCTACGATCCATGATACACCTCATGTAATTACTCTGGCTCGGATGGATGGGAATACAGCCCAGCAGCAGCAGAACAGCGCAAGCTCTGCCAGCAGAGGCAGGTAGAGGGCGCCACCGGCGCCACCCAGACAGAGTCCAGGACAGAGAGGAATCCTGCCTGCCGCACCTAGTAAACACAAAATGTTTATAGAATTTACACGACTTACCTCAGATGGTATTCTAGGCCTAAGCTCGACCTCCTGGAAGCCCGGCATGTGGTCGGCGTTGAGCATCACCGGTAGACTCACGCACTCCTGGGAGCCGCGATCGCCCACCGAGCCCAGCTCCTCGGCGCTCCCGTACTCCCTCACCTGCCCATCTTCGTATTCTAGCACCTCTCTCAGCTCTGGGTCTTCTAATACCGCATTGTTATTCCCCAAGTCTTTTTTCTTGTGCGCCTTGTGGAGCTTCTCTTTGGAGCCGAATATTTTTAACGTCTTGTCTCTCGACGGGGCGACTTTGTGCTTCGAGTCGAGACTCGAAACGGACGGAGCGCCTTTCAGCGCGGGCTCCTGCTTGCCCTGTTGTCCTCTACGGAACAACGATTTGAACTTCATCATCTTGTTCTATATCATGTTCGTTTCGTATCACTGATCGAATAAGTTCATCTGTCGCATGTTTCCACGATTACTGCTGTGTGTGCTACTGGCGCGTGATCGGAATTGATTAGGTATTGTTAATCGTGTAGGGCTGGTGTTTGGACGTAATGCTACGTACAGACACCTTGAAATAGATGCATAGCATATTAATAAATTTAAAAGCAATTGAAATGTGTCACTCGATTTTATATGACTGCTACTACGTACGATGCGTTGAGTGTAACAACACTACCTCTCTATTGAAATTAGGATGTTTTTTTTCTTATTTCATTAGATTCACGTATAATCTTTGGTAGCAATAGAAGTTCCCGTGCGAGGATTTGTAGTCTCAAATGTGATGTAATGGCGAGGGCCACCTTGGATATGATCACAGACTCCGAAGCTCTGGGAAGTCTACAAAACACCTACGATTTATATGTATTATTAAATCGAGCCGTGCCGAGGCAGCGCCCTGACAGCCGCGTCGTGATATTTAATAAGCGCGTGTCTAATCAAGCATCGATCTAAAAAACATAGTGAAGCTAATGAACCACTGGAACTTAGGTTATTGCAATTCCTCTTAGTATTCGAAATACTAATAACGTAGGTATTTTATTTTTTTTTACTTTACTCCACAATTTTTCTTTCACGGTCAGTCTTTCAAATTTAAACCATGTATTCCGTTATATTAGTAAGTGATAGAAACAGTCTACCCGTTTCAGAAATAACACTTTTCGATAAGATCTCAAATAAACTAGGAAGTAATGGGTGGACGATCCAACCAGACCTTTTTGAAGTGAACACTTCTTTAGCATCGTTGTGATTTGAAAGTCTATTAAACGAAAAAGCGACAGTAAAAAGAGACAGACACATAAATTCATAAGATTTAACGCGGGAGATAATGCGATAGGAAGCACTATAGCTCAATGCTCACGAGAAATGGCAAATCGCATCGCAATAGCAATAGCATCGCAAAAATCAACACCGCCGAAACGGCGTCGCTTACGCGTTTTGGTCAACAAGGTACGAAGGTGTCGTGTGCCTATGGAATAAACAAGCAGCGAAGCACAGTCAAACCTCAACTTCGTAATAGGTATAAATGACATAAATCTTTTTAATGATTACTATATAAGGTATATCGAAAAGAGTATAAACATTCGAAGGGAAATTAATCTACTCGTCGTAAAAATTAGTGACTGTTCCGTACTTTAAGTACATTAACAATGTCAAAGACTTATTTAGATATTTTAAACATGGTCTTATTAAAATATGTCGTTTAAATAAAATAAGTAATAAAATAAATGAGTTCAAGTAAATTTGAATAACAAAAGAACCATCAAAACCGGTAGTAGGTAGTTTCGTGCGTTTCCCATCTGTATGGTTCACTTTTCATAATCTATGATTTATCATTAAAAAATTGCAGCCACATGGCAGTGGCAGTAAACAGTAAAAAAATTAACAAATAATTAACCATATTGAAAAAAAAACATTCATTTAAAATTCATGATTTCATAAATTCAGGCTATCTAGCGTCTATTTTATGTACCACCTTACCAACAGTTGTTCGATAAAGTGACTACCTTTAGAATCAAGTAGGAGGCGGTATTATATAATATCTGTTTGCCAAATATATATATATATATATATATATTTTTTTATATATATATATATATATATATATATATATATATATATATATATATATATATATATATATATATATATATATATATATAAAGGATTGTTAGCTTTATTTACTATAAAATTAAATTTTCTTATACTTTATGTCGAACTTGTAGTTTAAATTATAATAATAGGTCCTTACATATGAAATTGGCGTTTTGTACGGGAGGAATATAAAGTCAATTTTTTTGTAAAATATATTTAATTAATCAAAGTATGCACCGTTGTTATCTATGCACTTTTGCTATCTCATAGGTAGCTCATTTATCCCTTTACTAAAAATAACATGGGGGGGCGAGAAACAATAAACTCTTTGAAGGCGATTTAGACTGCCGCATGGGAGTTGAATTTTTTTCCTTGTAAGAAGTTGTCCAAATTCCGGAAAAATCGTAATTTGTTGGAGTCCAGGGATTACGGTAGACGTCGCAGACATTCCAATTGTAGCTCATCTAACTTAGTGGTTGTTTGTTGTGCAGCGTGTGGTCTTGCGTTGTCGCGAAGCAGCAGTGGCCTAGAGCGGTTGTTTAGCAGCTAGTTGTTCCTTCATGGCTTGCAGTTGCTGACAATAGATATCTGACATAATCGTTTGGCCAGATTTTAGAAAGCTGTAGTGAACGACACCGGCGCTAGTCCACCAAACACTCACAAGTAACTTTTTCTGAGTCAATTTTCGTTTAGGGCAGGATTTAGCTGGGTCTCCAGGGTTCAGCCATTGCGACGCTTCCGATTATCGTACAATATCCACTTTTCATCACAAGTAACGATTCGATTTAAAATCCCTTCATTTTTGTGTCGGTTGAGCAAAGTAACACAGCAGTCGACACGTGTCTGCAAGTTCGATTCACTCAATTCATGAGGTACATATCGTTTAAGTTTTTTACTTTCCAGATTTGCTTCAAGTCGAATTAATACAGTTTTTTCACTTACCCAAAGCCTGCAGCTATGTCTAAAGTGCTTTGTGATGGATCTGCTTCCACAACAGCCAAAAATGGAAAAGGGAGAATTAATCTCCCTTTTCCATTTTTGGTCTCCGGCCGTCCACGGGGTTGGATCTGAAGGCCGAAATATCCAGAACGAAAACGTTGAAATCAAAAACGTACCGGGCTTTGTTTTGCAACACCAGCGCCGTGCACATCATTAATATTCGAGCTGTTTCTGCAGCACTGATGCCACAGTAGAACTCGTACTCGTAAATATACCGATATTTCATGTTTTCCATTGTGCGGTAATAAGCGACGCCAAAGAAAAAAATAATGAAAAAACAAATGAATGACTGTTTTCAAAACTCGAAGGTAATCAGCTAAATTAATTTATAAATTTGAATTTGGAATTCTTAACCAAAGAGGAGATATTTCAGATCAAAGTGGTCAGTGCGACAAAACGCTAATTTCATATGTAAGGACCCAATATTAGATAAATCATTTGCCGTAAAGTATCTGTATTTTAGATTTCATTTCATTTGAAGGTTTCACTTCTTTCGCGTGTGAGCCGCGCGCGTGTTTTTTTAATAGAATAAGGGTGAAATGAGCACACAGTTCACTGGGGGGTAAATACTGTGACCCATAGACACAGACCTGCATTTACGCCGATTCAGAATCAAAACCCTGATGTGCTGCCAATCCCAAGGACTAAGATGTTATACGTCGTTCCCAGTGAAAAGTGATTCCGGGTATCTATTCTACACTCACCATACGAAATACAGCAGCGTTATTTTATGAGAGCGTGGTCCTGCTCGGTCGAGCCGACACATTCGTGCTACTACGAGTACCATAACCAGCTGCAGCGTGGGACGTGGCTCTAGCACGTTCAAAATCTAACAAAAAAAATGTGTCATGTGAAGCATGAAAACTCGAAACAGTTTGTGAGATGACACCGTCGTATTGTTGGTTCATATAAATTTTTAATTGATTAATAAATGAAAATATATTTGGAAAATCTAAAAGTGCACACCTTGAACGCTTATTTAACGTTTTAAATAATACATTTTCCTTAATTAATTATCGAAACACGTATTTCGTTTACAGCTACAAAACATTGTTTCTGTTTAATAAACACGAAACTTTTTTGATTGCTTGATACCGGTGGATCGTATTGTGTTATCGGAAAAAATTGTCAAATATTAATGAACTACCTTCCTAAGGATTAAAATCTAGCGAAAAAAAAAATCCAAGTAATAAGTTCAGTTTCTCGAAAGTTATCTTGTTCACATCCGCACCGACCAACTGGCGTCCAAGTGAAATTATTTACAATTAACTTTTTTTAATAATAATCGAAATAAATAATCTTATAACCACTAATAAACCAATACTAGTGGTGACAATAGAGCACTACATCTCCGCTTGGCGTCCGTGTGTGCATAACAAAATCATGCATTACTGTTTCCCGCATGTGTCGGTGTATTTGCTTATGATTGATTTGATGCAGTTTTTACCATAATATAAAAAAAATTTATCAATGAAAGATTTCATGTATACATCTATGCATATTTTATATTAAGATAGTAGCGTAATGTTTGGGTTTTGTAAACAAGTTGTAAAAAAAAAAGTAACGGTCCGGTCGCTTTTTGAATACCAACCTATAGACCGATAAGTTATAGTAACCTCAACGACATTGAAGAAGCAAAATACAGAAAAATGCCATACTTTATCTTTTATAAAACTAAAGTGAAGTGACAAACCAACTCACATTCCACCCGAAGGTAATTGGCCACGGCAGTCCATGGACACCCGAAGCAAACTTCAGCATAGAGCTGCAAATACGTTGTCACCTCTGACGACTAAGGTGCAATGCCTCGTAGCCCAAAATTATACTGGCTTTCTTTACTATTCAGACCGGAACATAGCAGTACTTATCAGCTATATACCACGTATTGAAATTAGAGTGGAAACGCTTATGGTCCCACCTACTTACTTATTGTCAAGTACGAGTATTGTTATTGTAGACTGCTTGATGCTCAGCCGTACTGTATGAAATCTGTCAACTACTTTGTTTACAATATTTCGTTAACTTTTTATTTACTAGATGTCGTTGCGTTCAAAGCTCGCGTTATACATATATATCGCGTCGTAGTTTTGTTCTAAATGGTAACTCCGTTAAAGGAAATTCTGTTCGGGCAGCTTTTATTAACGATTTTTTTTAAATAAATATACAAAAATTACATGTAGAAAAGATTTTATTTATCCTCAAAAAACAAAACAAAAATGGTTATTTAAGTTTGCCCTTCACGCTCTTTTCTTAATTCTAAAATTTCGTTACAAATAATATTAAAAA